ACCCTCCAGGGGGGATGGTCACGCCGCAATCCCTTCTCCTCCATTCTCCTCTCGGGATCTTGGGCACGCACGCACACGCGCCAAGCGTGAGTTTTTTAAGCCACTGGCTCCGGGACAAGAACCGCGGTCGACTACGTGGGAGTCCAGCGACATAGCCATTACGCTAACTGCTGGTTCCCTGTAAGATGTATCTTTATGTCAGAGTCTTAGAATCAGTGGAATACAATGTAAGTTAATAATTGGAAGAGAGACCAAAGAGGAGAGGGAAGAAATTAGAATAGTTTTTTTGTTATTTTGGGGGGCATATTTACATTAACTAGTGAGATTGTTCTTGTTTACATTTCAAGAGATGTAAGAAATACTGTCTTTTAAAGTTATTTTTACACTTTGTACTTCTCAGAATATGAACAACCCGTTCATCCCTGGAATGTTTTTCTATGGCTTTGTTTGTGGATTTTTCTCTGTAATAATTTCTTAACATCTCTACTTCTAGTTTGCAGTGGATTTTGGATAAACAAGATCTGTTGAAGGAACGTCAAAAGGACTTAAAGTTTCTCTCAGAAGAAGAGTATTGGAAATTGCAAATATTTTTTACAAATGGTAAATTAAAAAAAAAGATATTTAAATGGTATAGTTTGTCACCTCTGAATTAAAATATTTTTGTATAGTAAATTGTGAACTGTTTTAGTACATACTTAGCATTTTTTAAAGAATTATTTATTTAATTTTATTTCTTAATATTCTTCATTTTGACTAGAGAGAGAGAAAAAACAAGCTAGGTCCAGGACTCAAAATCACAGTCAACCATGTGGAAGTCCAGTGCCTTAATCACCCTGCCACCTGCTGGCCCCCATACTTAACATTTTTTATAGATACATGTATTTTTTTTTTTACATGTTTTTCTTTTTACAGCTTATATTCATTTTTTTCTTTTTTACTTTTTTTGCTATAGGGCACATGGTCTTGAGAGACTGAGACAGAGAAGGAAAGTGAGAAATCACTGCCATATTCTTCATTTTGACTAGAGAGAGAGAAAAAACAAGCTAGGTCCAGGACTCAAAATCACAGTCAACCATGTGGAAGTCCAGTGCCTTAATCACCCTGCCACCTGCTGGCCCCCATACTTAACATTTTTTATAGATACATGTATTTTTTTTTTTACATGTTTTTCTTTTTACAGCTTATATTCATTTTTTTCTTTTTTACTTTTTTTGCTATAGGGCACATGGTCTTGAGAGACTGAGACAGAGAAGGAAAGTGAGAAATCACTGCCCAGGGGGCATGGCCACATTGCAGTCCCTTCTCTTCTAGTGTCTTGGGATTTGGGGTATGCATGCACACACTCCCAGCATGATTCTCAAGCCAGGTAGGGACTCAAACTGTGGAATCAGCCATGTGGGATCTAGTACCTTAACCTCCATGCTACCTGCTGGGCTTTTCTTAAAATGATCTAAATTTTGTGTGTGTGTGAATTTTATGTGTCATCGGCACTCAGAACAATTTGAAAGTGTTAACTGATTTCCCTAAGTTTTTATAATGTATTACTAAACCTGGTTTAAGATAAACTAAAACAAAGTACTTTGAGGCTAAATGATTCTTGGATTGACATCTTGTAGCCATGGTGGTTCCTATCTTAGCACTTTGGAATGAAGGGATTTAGGGTCAGAAGATCTTTACTCTGCCTTGTGGTAGCTTTGTCACATGACCTTTCCAACCCTTAGTTCACTCTTTTGCAAACCTACTTCTTTTTTGTCTTGATTCCTTATGGTTTTTTTTATTTATTTTATTATTTTTTTTTTTTTGTAAACTGTATAAAGTGATGGTTAGAATGAGTTTGATAGGTGTCTAATATTTTCTTTTTGTATTTTTTATAAAGATAGTATGATATTGAAAATATTTAGAAGATGGAAAATACCTGTCATTCAACCTTGTTAATATAAGAATAATTTTTGCTATGGAGTGATTTTTAAATTTATTTTTGAGGTTTTACCATAGGGTGTGTGTGCTCACCGGAGAGAGGCAGAGACAGAGTGGGAAAGTCCAGCAAGGTAACTGCTATGCCATCTGCTGGCCCCAGTTAAAAAAAACTTTTTTTTCTTTGAGAGGTTTTTGCTACAGGGCGTGTGCACTTGTCAGAAAGACAGAGACAGAGAGGCAGAAAGCTAGAAATCACCTCCAACGGGAATGGCCATGCCGCAATCCCTTCTCCTCCATTCTCCTCTTGGGATTTTGGGCATGCATGCACATGTGGTATGCACATGTGCCTGTTGTGAGTTTAAGCCACTGGTCCGAGACTCGAACCATGGTCGACTACATGGGAGTCCAGCGACATAGCCATTATCCCAACTGCTGGTCCCCCCCAATTTTTTTAAAATCTACATTTAAAGAAATTTGTCAGGGCACTTGTATTCTCCAGAGAGAAAGACAGAGCAAGTGAGAAAGCATCCCCCCATGGGGGATGGTCATGTCGCCATCCCTTCTCCGTTTCTCTCTTCTTTGGGTATTTTGGGCATGCAGGCACATAAGGTTAGTATGTTTTTCAGGCTGCCAAGTCTGGGACTCAGTCATTAGTCATGTGGGATCCAGCAACCTTAACCACCATGCCACCAGCTGGCCCTTCTATTATTATTTTAATGCACATTCATTTTTTTTTACTCATTTGCAAATTCTGTTATTAAACCATAGTGATGAGCTTTACAGCATGTGTTGCTATTTCCCTTTGTCAAACATGAATATAGATAAAAGGACAAACATTACTGTTTAATGTTAATACAATACCAAAAGATGCATTTAAAACATTATTATCTTCCTTTTAGTTATCCAAGCATTAGGTGAACATCTTAAGTTAAGACAACAAGTTATTGCCACTGCTACAGTCTATTTCAAGAGATTCTATGCCAGGTGGGTTATTATATTTTGGAAATATGTTTTATCTATTTGAAATTCTAATGTTGGTGAATCATTATATAAACGAATCATGTATTTGCCATAAAGGAGTCTTTTTGGCTTTGTTTTCTAGGTGAGTGACAATTTACCTTTGTTTTATTCTATTTTAGGTATTCTCTGAAAAGTATAGATCCTGTACTGATGGCTCCTACATGTGTGTTTTTGGCATCCAAAGTGGAGGTATAAGCAATTTTTTGTTCCTTTTTTTTTTTCTTTTTAAGAATTATCTTATTTAACTTTATTTATTTTTATTTATTTTTTAACTTGACCAGACAGGCACAGAGTGAAAGAAAGAGAGAAAGTAAGAAAACAAGCTGTCAGGTCCAGGACTCAAACCAGAGTCTGCCATGTGGAAGTTCAGCAACCCAGCTGCCACGCCACCTGCCGGCCCACAATTTTTTGTTCTTTTGTAGTTGATGTCTTTTGGTTAACCTGCCCCAATTTTTATATTTGGCTCATCATGACTTTCCTGATGACTTAATACTTATGGAAAGATAACAATAGATGGTAATTAATGCAAAATAATGAAATTGTACAAAATCAAAGAAATATATATATACACATATATCCTTTATCTATTCATGTAGTAAATGCTTATATACTACTTATTGTGTACCAAATGTTTTTGTAAGTCCTTTTACAAATACTAACTTCCTTAGTTAGTATTTAAAATCCATGAAATATATAGTAGTAGTGACTATATTTTATGAGTGAGGAAATTAAGACACAGAGAGTTTAATATTTTTTTAAGAACTTTCCTAAGCTCATATAGCTGATAAGAGGCAAAGCCAAAGTTTGAATCATTAAGTCCAGCTCTTAATGCTGTGTTCTTAGCTGCCTTACCCTACTGGCTTTAAGACATTTATTGTTTGGCACTAAGTATTTCGTAAATGCCACAACTTATCTAATGTTATTTGAGAGTGTTTCTGTGTCTCACTCATATGCTTATGTCTTACTGTCTTTCCCTGCCTCCTATTGCCCACTAAGCCATAGGAAAGCAGAGGAAGGGCAGGGATTAGAGGAAGCTATAACTTTATAGAATAAATAAAAGATTGGGTGATGAGGGTAGAGAAACTGGGTGAGAGAGAGAAGATTCTGAGATAAGAACTTGCAGCTGAGGTAAATGTCTGCTGAGCTTATATTTTGTAGAGAGCTCCACTAGAATCCAGAGAATAGCAGGTATGGCTGGTGTTTGTAACTAATCCATGCAGTGTAAAGAAACCTTATTATGTTGCTATTTTTGGATGATGTCTTTAGAATAATAATTTTTTTGCATATTGAACATGATTTTAGCCTAGTAAGTTTACATTCTTTTTTTAAAAATTTTATTTAACTTTATTTATTCATTTATTTATTTCAATTTGACCAGAGAAGGGTAGAGTGTGAGAGAGAGAGAGAGAGAGCTAGAGAGAGAAAGCAAGCTGTTGGGTGAGTGTGAGAGAGAGCAAGGGAGAGAAAGCAAGCCGCTAGGTCAACGACTCGAACCGCAATCAGCCATATGGGACTCCAGCACCCTTAACCACCAAGCCACCTGCCGGCCCAACATTCTTTATAATAACCACTTTGATTTAGTTTTGTTTTATCTGGTATTTGATGATCCATGACATCTTTTCCAACTATGACCTAAATGAGAGTTGTCTTCATTAGAAATAATATTAGCTTCGTAGAGATTTTCTATGAGTGGTAATTTAAGAAGACCAAACCAGCTTTTTGTTGTCAGGTTTTCTAGTGGCATAGAAAATGTTATAAATTGTCGTGAAAGGCCTTTACTGGGGGCCGGTCAGTGATGTGGTGGATAAGGTGACTGGATTTCACATGGCTGATTGTGCTGCTTGAGTCTTGGACCTAGTGGCTTGAAAAACAGTGCTGGGCACATGTACATGTGTGCCCAGAATCCCATCAGGAGAACAGAAGAAAAGGGATTGTGGCATGGCCATCCTCACTGAGGCAGCTTTCTCACCTCCCAGTCCCCGCAAGTGCACATGCCCTGCAGCAAATTTTTAAAAAGTTTTTATTGTGGATTGGTTTTTCTAAATATTGCCATGTAAAGTTTGATTTTATTTAAATATCACTAGATAATATTTAATTTCATGTATCTGAAGCATAATCACTGGGAGACTAAGATAAAATCTTTATAAACTTCTACTCTTATAGATTAATGTGAAGATTTTTTGTTTTTAAATATCTTTTGTTAATTTGATTTACTGAGTAAAAGTTTTCACATTTAAGATTTTTTTTTCCCTTGCTTTTTGCTGTAGGGTGCACGTGCTCACTGGAGAGAGAGAGGGAAAGTGAGAAATCACCTCTCATGGAGGATTGCCATGCTGCAGTCCCTTTTCTTTCATTCTCCTGTGATTTGGGGCACGAATGCACATGTACCGGGTCTGAGACTCAAACTGCAATTGATTATTTGGAAATCCAGCACCTTAACAATCACACCACTTGCTGGCCCAAGAATTTTCTTTTAATTTGCTATAGGTTAAAAGTAGAAATGGAAATTATCATTGAAGTCTTATATTAGTCTTGTTTCTCTCATTCAGAAAGGATCATTGTTTCTGTGGCCTTTTAAGTTCTTTTGGTGATACTGAAGTTTATCTTATTCGGAGTTTTAACTGTTTTATTACTAAATGCCCTAAAGTATTTAACTGTTCTGATTTAGTTGAATAGGAACCTTACTTAATATTCTAGTAGTTAAATGTGGAATCTCAACAATTTACTTGGAAATTAATTTTAGTGCAAAAAAACTGATACTGTCACTTTAGGGCTTGGTTTGTAATTTGGCACATCTTAAATTATAAAACTTAACAATTTATCTTAAATTGTAGCAGTTTTAAGGAAAAGTAATGCATTTAAGTATTTAAGTATTTTATACCTTAAGTAGGTAGAAGATGAACTGACTGAGGACCTAGGAAATTCTGTTTTGAATAGACATCAGATACCCCTAGGTTTCTGTTGGGTTGTTATATGCCTGATCTCATCTACTTTTCTTTCTCTAGGAATTTGGTGTAGTCTCAAATACAAGATTGATTTCTGCTGCTACTTCTGTATGTAAGTGCAAAAAGTATGTCCTGCTTTAAAAATGTAATTCCAAAGAAAGCGCTATTATACATAGATATTTTTAGGGTTGAAGATGTGTGAGGGTTAGCTGGATTTGTTAAATCCCCTGATGATACCTTTATGACTATTTTATTTGGCAGAAAATAAAGTTTGAAAGTTTCTTTTTAACCATTTTTAGTATTATTTGTGAGATGATACTTTTTTTAGAGGTTTTTTGCCTTTGGGCTTGTGCACTTGACAGAAAGAGTCAAAGTGAGAGGGAAAGTGAGAAATCACTGCCATGAGAGATGGCCATGCCACAATCCCTTTTCCTTTATTCTTCTCCTGGAATCTTGGGCACACCCACACACATGCTCAGCATGAGTTTCAAGCCACCACATCTGGGAATTGAACCATGGTTGACCATGTGGGAGTCCAGCGATGTAATCACTATGCTATCTTCTTGCTCCAAGATACTACATTTTTCATTTTTATTGTAAGAGTCATTTTTTTCAGTGGGGTGTGTGTGCTCACCAGAGAGACAGAAAGCAAGAAATCACCTCCCAGAGGATGACCATGCTGCAATCCCTTCTCTAGTCTCCTCTTGGAATTTTGGGCATGCACGCATGTTTACCCGGTGTGAGTTTCAAGCCTCTAGGTCTTGGACTTGAACATCAGCCATGTGGGAGTCCAGCAATATAACTGCAATGCTATATGCTGTTCTTAGATTGACTTTTTTTTTTTTTTTTGCCATAGGGTATGTATACTTGCTGGACAGAGAGAAAGTGAGAAATTGCCCTCCAGGGGAAATGGCTACACTACAGTCCCTTCTCCATTCTCTTAGGATTTTGGGCATAAATACACATGCACCCAGTGTGTGTGTCTTTTCTTTTTAAAATAATTATTTATTTATTTAGTTCCATTTGTTGTTATTATTTTAACTTGACCAGAGAGAAAGGGAAAACGAGAAAGCAAGCTTCTAGGTTTGGGACTTGAACTGGGATTGGCCATGTGGGAATCCAGTGCCTTAATTACAGTACCACCTACTGGCCCCACAGTATGTCTTTAAAGTCACCAGGTCTGAGACTTAAAATGTGCAGTTGGGGGGGATAAGCAGGTGGTGTGGTGGTTAAGGGTTCTAGACTCCATGTGGCCGACTGCTATTTGAGTCCTAGACCTGGCAGCTTGCTTTCTTGCCTTCTCTCTCTTTCTCTCTCTCTCTCTCACACACACCATCTCTCACTCTGTCCCTTTCTGGTCAAATTAAAATAAAAATGAATAAATAAAGTTAAATAATTCTAAAAAAATAAAATAGGCCATGTGCAATCCAGTACTACCATATCTGCTAGCTCAAAGATTGACTAATTTTTACATTTTTGGATCATGCCCCCCTTTTTCTTTTTAAAATTTATTTAATTTGATTTATTCATGCATTTATTTTAATTTGACCAGAGAGAGACACAGGGCGTGGGGGGGATGAAAAAGCAAGCCACCAGGTCCAGGACTTGAACCGTGGTCAGCTATCAGCTATGTGGGAGTGTCCAGTGCCTTAACTACCATGCCACCTGCTGGTCCTGAATCATTCCCCTTTCTAAGAGTATAATCTAACTTTTGGGGCCAGCATGTGGCATAGTGGTTAAGGCGCTGGATTCCCGCACGGTTGACTGGTTGGAGTTCCACATCCAGTGGCTTGAAACTCTTGCTGGACATATGTGTGTGTATGCCCAAAATTCTGATAGGACAGTGGTGGAGGAGAGATTGCAGCATAGCCATTCCCCCACTGGAGGCATGATTTCTTGCTTTCTGTCTGTCTCTCCAGCAAGTGCACTCACTCTATAGCAAAAAATCTCATTAAAAAAACCTAATCTTTTCCATGTTATATTTAAATTATTTTTAGGGTAGATAAGTAATCAATTTTTATCACAATATTTTATATACCAAGTATATCACATTAAGTGTCTAGGGATTAGTAATTCACATTTGTTTCATGCATAGAAATAATTTGAGAGAGAAGGAGGAAGGGAGGGAGAGCAAGCAAGCAAGTGAAAGAAAGAGTACCCTCTCATGGACATGGTAATGCTGCAGTCCTTCTCCATTTCTCCTCGGGATTTGGGGCATGCATGCCCACAGGCCCAACATGTTTTTCAAGCTACATTTTAAAAATTAACTAAAAGAAAGATTAATTAAAATGGGTCTAGGTTTCAAATCTTGGAAAATGTTACTGATTTAAATTAGCTGTGTTTACAAGACATCTTTTTTTTTTAAGAGAGATTTTTGCTGAGCTTCTAATCTTTGGGGCATGTACACTTCCCAGTGGGACAGAGAGACAGAAAATGAGAAATCACTCCCAGGGGGATGGCAATGCCTCAATCCTCTCTAATCTTGGGCATGCATGCACACGTGCCCAACATGAGTTTTAAGCCGCTGGGTCCAAGTCTTGAACCGCAGTCAACCATTGCAGTCCAGTGATGTAACCATTATGCCATCTGCTGGTCCCTTACAAAACATCTTTTAAGGGTCAACCAGTGGCATAGTGGTTAAGGCAGATCCTATATGGCCAACTACATGTTTGATTCCTGGACCCAGTGCTTTGAAAAACACGCTGGGTAGGGGGTAGGGGACTGGCAGGTGGTGTGTATAAGGTGCTTAACTCCCACATGGCAGACTGTGGTTCAGGCCCTGGACTTGGTGGCTTTCTTTCTCTCTCTTGTTCTCTGTCTCTCTGGTCAAAAGCCATAATAATAAATAAAATTAAACAAATAATTGTTTTAAAAAAAGAAAAACACTGGGAGCATGTGTGTGCATACCCAAAGTCCCAAGAGGAGAATGGAGGAGAAAGGATTGTGGTGTGGCCATAGCCCCTGGGTGCTTTTTCACTTTCCCTCTCTCTCTCTCTCTGTCTCTGGAGAGCGCACACATCCTCTGTGAAGTTTAAAAAGAAAAACAATCTTTTAGAAAATATGTAGAATAAATAAATTTTTTTTTTAATCTCAGTGAGTTCTTTAGGCTTTATGCAAGTAGAAAGGATTACAAAACAGATCCTCTAGAACCTGGTGAAAGTTATCTGATTAAATTAAATGTATCATAATAACTTTAATACAGTGTTCTTGAATAGTTCTTGATTGTATACACTCATACTGTTTTGAGGAGATGGGGTATTGGTTTTTACTGTTTTTTCCTTTGTGCTTTTTTAGTGACTAATAAGACTAGTAGTCTATATGTGTGGTATGAAAATGTCTTAGATCTTTGCATGTATAATGTAATACTTTTATTGAAATACATCTTTTGATAAAGAATACCTAGTCGCTATAGAAAGTTTAAAAGTGCAGATTACTAAAATATCCTTAAGTCTCAGAGGTACCCACTCTTAAGTATTTTTTTAGTGTATTTCCAATATTTTATTAAAATTGTATGTGTGTGTGTGCATGTAGTTATGTTTAGAAGTGAGGACACCTCTAAAAGTTTGTGGAAAATAGAATTAAAGTACAAGTTTATTTTGGTGCAAAATATTTTGAAAATTTTTGCCTTTTTTTTTTTTCTCTTTCTTCTTTTTTGGAGAGGTTTTTGCTATAGGGCATGTGCACTCGCCAGAAAGACAGAGATAGACAGAGAGACAAAGCGAGAAATCACCCCCTTGGGGGATGGCCACGCCACAGTCCCTTCTCCATTCTCCTCTTGGGATCTTGGGCATGCACGCACACGCGCCCAGCGTGAGTTTAAGCCACCGGGTCTGGGACTCAAACTGCAGTTAACTACATTGGAGTTCAGCGACATAGCCATTACGCTAACTGCTGGTCCCAAACTTTTTTTTTAAAGAGATTTTTTTTACTATAGAGTGTGTGTGCTTGCCAGAGGGAGAGACAGACAGCAAGAAATTACCTTCCAGGGGGGATGGCCACACAATCCCTCCTCCTCCATTCTCTCGGTATCTTGGGCACACAAGCATACGTGCCTGGCATGAGTTTTAAGTTGCCAGGTCCAGGACTCGAACCATGATTAATTATGTGGGAGTTCAGCTACGTAACCTTTATGCCATCTGCTGGTCCCTAGATTTTTTATAATACACATTTTCTATGAACTCTGAAGACTTCCTCTTACAACGTCTGTATTCTTTTAAGCTAAATCATTGGAGAATAGAACTGTTTAGTTCTAGTGCTGGGAAGATTTTTAGAGATGATCTAAGGTCTCATTTTTTTCCCAACTTTTTATCTATTTATTTAAAGTTTATTTTTCTTCTTTTATTTTTTAAAGAATGATTTTATTTAACTTTATTTATTTAAACTTGACCAGAGAGGGACAGAGAGAGCGAGCGAAAGTGAGAAAGCAAGCCACCAGGTCTTAAACCGCAGTTGACCTTGTGGGAGTCCAGCACTCTTAACCACCGTGCCACCTGCTAGCCCCAAGTCTATTTTTCTTCTTTAGAGAGAGACAGAAAAAGAGAAAGATAGCACCTTCAGCAGGGTCTCACACTACAGTTCTTCCCTCCATCCTTTCCTAACCAGTCAGGACCACTGGCCTGGGCATGCTATTTGTAGTTAGACCCAAGAACTCAGCCCAGACCTTCTGTATGGCCTCTAGCTTTGCAGAGCTGTCACTACTGCACATGCCACGTGACTGGGCCATTTTAATTGATCTGTTTAAGCAGCAGAACCTTTTCTAAATATATTTTAAGTAGAAGATTGAAGCTAATTACATTATAGGTGAGGACCTAGAGCTTCCTTTTACCCAGTCTTATTTCTTCAAATAAAAATGAGAGTTCCTAAGCATTGCCAAGAACTCCTATTGAAAATGAGTTAGCCTTCTGTAAAAGTCTACACTATGTTAAAGGAATTTGGGGTTAATTCATGTTACTATTTTCTCAGTTGGAATTGTTTTTTGTTTTCTGCAGTAAAAACTAGATTTTCATATGCCTTTCCAAAGGAATTTCCTTATAGGATGAATCATGTAAGTATTCTTTATAAAATAAGATACTTGTTGAAATTATGTAAGCTAACTCTGTTAATATTAGAATAAACTTAATAGTCTCTTAGAAATGGCAGTGTCAAGTGCTATAAAAATTTAGATATTATTCTAAGTTTTGTTTTTTTTCTTTTTTTGGAGAGGTTTTTACTATAGGGCGCATGCGCTCGCCAGACAGACAGAGAGAGACAGAGAGATAGAAAGCGAGAAATCACCCCCCAGGAGGGATGGCCATGCCGCAATCCCTTCTCTTCCATTCTCCTCTCGGGATCCTGGGCATGCATGCACACATGCCCAGCGTGAGTTTAAGCCACCAGGTCCGGTACTCGAACCGCAGTCGACTACGTGGGAGTCCAGCGACATAGCCATTACGCTAACTGCTGGTCCCTATTCTATTCTAAGTTTTTTAAAGACAAGATCTCACTATTACACTGTTTGCTTCAGCTTCCTAACCTTGATCATAGGCATAGACCTCACAGCCGGCTCTGTTTTAGATAGGATCTTGCTTTCTTGTCCAGGCCGGCTTTGAATGTTTAATCCTCTTGCCTCAGCCTCCTGAGTCACTGGAATTAGAGGTGCATGCCACTGCACTGAGCCTTAAGGCTGAACCTGGGAATCAAACCCTGACCTCCCATGTGGTCTATGCAGAGTATAGCATCTTAGCAGCATGCACTATGGTTGTTAAGACTAAATACCTTCAAGGCTGGCAGATGGTGTGGTGGAGCAAAACGCTGGCAGATTGCTCTCTCGCTTTCCCTTTCTCTCTTTCTATCTCTGTCTGGTCAGATTTAAAAATAATAATAACAAATGGAACGAAATAAATAATTCTTTTAAACAAAGTAAATACCTTCTACCATTTTATTTTATTTTATTATTTTTTTAATTTGCGAGATGGTGCATGCTCTCAATGAGGGTATGGAGAAAGCACTCCCAAATGAGGCATGGTCATGGTACAATTCCTTCTCTATTTCTTGACCATCTTGGGATTTTGGACATGCACCCACGCATGCTCAGTCTGTTTTTCAAGCATCAGGACTGGGATTTGGACTACCTGGTCAGTGTGTGGGATCTGGTAGCCTTCACTACCAGGCCATGGAGTTGACCCTACCTTCTCCTATTTTAGAATACTTCATGGGGGCCGGCAGGTGGCATGGTGGTTAAGGTTCTGGAATCGCACATGGCCCAGCACAGTTTGAGTTCCAGACCTGATAGCTTGCTTTCTCATTTTTCTTCTCTTTTTCTCTCTGGCTCTCTGGTTAACTAAATAATAATAATAAAATCAAATAATTCTTTAAACATTACTTCATAGAATTATCAATCCATAGTTGTCAACTCTGCCTGCCTATTAAATCTTCTTGGGACCTTTTTTTTTTTTTTTTTTTTTTTTTTTTTGGAGAGGTTTTTGCTATAGGGCACATGCGCTTGCCAGACAGAGAAAGACAGACAGAAATCACCCCCCGGGGGGATGGCCACGCTGCAATCCCTTCTCTTCCATGCTCCTCTCAGGATCTTCGGTGCGCATGCACACACGCCCGGCGTGAGTTCAAGCCACTGGGTCCGGGACGTGAACCTGCGTCTACTACGTGGGAGTCCAGCGGCATAGCCATTACACTAACTGCTGGTCCCAGGGACCTTTTTAATAGTACTGATAATGGGTCCTTTCTAAACCAACTACATCAAAAGTTTCAGGGTTAGGATCCCAAGCATTGGTATTTTCTTTCTTTAATTTTTTTTTTTGTGTGTGTGTTTGTGAGAGGCTACATGTGTTTATTAGGTAGAGACAGAAGAAGATGAAGAAGGAAAATGAGAAAGCCCCCCCCCCCAGGAGGGAAGTTCACACCGCAGTCATTTCTCCTCCATTCTTCTCTTGTGATTTTGGGCACACATGCACTTGTGCTGGGTATGCTTTTCAAGCCACCAGGTCTGGGACTGGTGCACAGTCAACTGTGTGAGATCCAGCCTCCTTAACCACCATGCTACTGGCTGACTCAGCATTGGTATTTCCTTTTTTTAAAGAGTTTTTTGCTATAGAGTGCATGTGCTTGCCGGTGAGAGAGAGAGAGACAGAAAGTGAGAAGTCACCCCCTCAGAGGGGATGGCCACACCACAGTCCCTTCTCCATTCTCCTCTCGGGATTTCGGGCATATACACACATGTGCCCAGGTTGAATTTTATGCCGCCGGGTTGGGACTCTTAACTGCAGTCTACTGTATGGGAGTCCAGCAGCGTAACCATTACACTATCTGCTGGTCCCAGCATTGGTATTTTCTAAAAGTACCTATATGATACAAAGGTATAGTTGGGACCTACTATAGTGAAACAATTTGAAAATCATATTTTAAAAATTGTTACTACTTTTGACATGTCAATAGGCATATCCTTCCTTTGCCACTTTATAAGTAATTTAATCATTCTACTTAAATTGTATTTATTTATTAAGTAGAGATAGTTGCATTTTGTATTCTTTGAGTAAAAAGTATATTGTACAATTTGAGTTTTTTTCTAGTCTATTTTAAATAAAAATGAGTAAATAAGAATGCTCGCAAGAGGTTGGCTTTTCCTTATAAGGATTCCAATGAATTTCATGTATTATTTAACAGTAAAAAGTATTTTTTATTGCATATATTCATTCTTATATAAGCCACAGTGTTTATTTTCTTAATTTAAAAATTTTTACTAGAAATTTGATAAATTACATGACATTTGGCAATCTTTTTTTTTAAACAGATATTAGAATGTGAATTCTATCTTTTAGAACTAATGGTAAGTACATTTTTTTTCTCTGATTAATAGAATAAACTTATTTTTCAGATTAAATGAAGTCAGAAATTAAAGATGATTTATAGGAAGGTACATCTTAAAACCACCTAAGTGATATGTGATGGTGAAATGATAGTAGCCTAATAAAACCACCCATATCTTCTCTGAAACATGTAATTTGTATATCCTACATAGGATGGGAAAACTTTTCTGTTCCATAATAACTAAGTTTAATAAAGAGGATTATAAGCAAAGAAGTCAGGACATTAAGCCACTGTAAATTATGTGCACAGTTTGTGTATGTGTGTGGTGTCGTTTAAAGACAGATTATGTCTTTGGCAGAATTCTGCTCCTCCAGTTGGAAATTATGGATTTGTAGGCTAATAAGAGGTTTCAGTGTGTTGCAGATGTGACACTTTGAGTCTCTAAGGGAATGAATGGATGCTGACTGACTGCCAACCGATTTACCAAGGTATATTCCAGAGAGAGCACTGCCTTTACTATTACAGTAGAGTTTAGGGCTGCCATTACTGCTTGCTTAAGAAAATAAAAGGGAAGCAAGCATGAGTTAGAGAAATTAATTTTGAAATACACAATTATAAATCAGTTGGATAATGATATCTTTTTTTGTGTTGTAATAACTGTTTTTATACATACACATTTTTTAAACTGTTTCTAGGATTGTTGCTTGATAGTGTATCATCCTTATAGACCTTTGCTCCAGTATGTGCAGGACATGGGCCAAGAAGACATGTTGCTTCCCCTTGCATGGTAATTAGAACAGAAGTTATTAACAGTGTAAATGTTACTAGAAAGGAAAGTTGAGAACTAAATATGAAGTTCATTGTTTGTAAAGTCATTAAAATAGTGCCCCAAGATATTTCAAGTAAAATATATACTTGCTGAATTTAGTAAGTATAGTGGTGTAAGTACTAAAGTGATAAACATCTTAAATTACCTAATATACCCATGAAAATGTGATTTTTTTTTTGGCGGGGGGAGAGGTTTTTGCTGTAGGGTGTGTGCGCTCGCCAGAAAGAGAGACAGAAGGTGAGAAATCACCCCCCAGGGGGTGGCCACGCTGCAATCCCTTTTCCTTTCTCTTCTCAGAATCTTGGGCATGCGCACGCACATGTGCCTGGCGTGAGTTTAAGCCACCGGGTTTGGGACTCAAACCGCGGTCGACTATGTGGGAGTCCAGCGACATAGCCATTATGCTAACTGCTGGTCCCAACAATGTGATTTTGTATGAAAACTAGACTTCACATGAAAGTTAACATGAGACTGAAATTATCTTTAAAACAGTGATTTTTGTAAGGATAACATAGGTATAAATTTACTGTATAACTTTTGACTTTTTATGTGATTTTCTGATTTTTGAAAAGCTAGAAAATGTGTTTCATTTTATAATTTATTGTGAGGTTTTGAATTTTAAAATGCATTTAGCTATAACTGTATTCATTAGTTTGTACTTATTTATAGTCACATTCATGTATCCTTTTGCCTTAAGGTTATTAACCTTTATAGCTGTTCTTCAGTAATATGAAAGGGAAATAAATATGTACAAAGATGGGAAACCTGACCCTTTGGGGAGGAAATGTACAATTAGATGAGATAATTCTGCTTTCAGTAATACTATTATTTACATTTCTATAGGAGGATAGTGAATGATACCTACAGAACGGATCTTTGCCTGCTGTATCCTCCTTTCATGATAGCTTTAGGTATGTAAGTGTGATATACCTATATTAGTTAAATTGTTATAAACCTATGTAGGTCATCCTAAAATAAACTTCACCCTATTGTACTTTATGTTTTTTGTGTTCCATGAAGTAATAGACTAATCCTTGCATGTGAATTTTCAGTAATGTGAACTGCAGCTGTCACAAATCAAGATCAATTTCCCCTTATTCCCCCTTTTGTTTAAGTTTTTTAAAAAATCATTTAAAATAATTTTAATCAGTGTCTGAACAGAACATTTTTTAGGGGTCAAAATTCAGAATTAAGCCTGTTCATATTTATTACAATGTAAATAAAATAAACTAGACTTGTCTTTCATTCCCCTGAACCCAGGTAGGGAGTTCAATAAAGGAGTATCTGTAGTTCTTAATGTCTTGCTGGAGGAAGTTAATTGTTACCTTCTCTCTGTGAAAGGCAGTACTGTAATAGGTTAGAATACAGACTCCCGGGGTCAGCAGAGAATGTAATGATTACGTTGCTGGACTCCCACATAGTTGACCACAGTTTGAGTTCTGGACCTGTAGCTTAAACCCACACCAGGCGCATGTGTGTGCGTGCCCAGAGTCCTGAGAGGAGAGTAGAGAAGGATTGCAGCGTGGCCATCCCCCCAGGGCTTGATTTTTTGCTTTCTGTCTCTGTCTGTGTCTCTCTGGTGAGCGCATGGACCCTATTACAAAAATCTCTCTCTCAACACACACACACACACACCCAAGTCAGATAGTACTGTTTAAACTTTGCTTCCTCTACAATTATGAAAAAAATTAACCTTTCTGAGTTTGCTTCCTTAATTGTAAAAGGGCTGGTGGGGGAGTGGACTAATAACTCCATACAGAGTTGTTTCAAGACGTAAATGTAGAGCATCAAATAATGTCTCCTTTGTACTGGACACTTGTTCATTTCTGTTCCTTTTCCTTCTATTGATGTACATAACTCCATCCTATTGACTTTTTTCCACTTTAGCCTTGCTTTCTCTGATTTCTCATTTTTCAGTTATTCTTTAAGTAGTGATGTCTCTCAGTCTTTTTACACCAGAGGTGGCAGATAGGTTTTTTACACTTTGTAGTAGTGGCAGCTCTTTGCAAGGACTAGATCTGGAAGGATTCTGAAGTGGTATCAGGGTTAATGGGTAGAAATGCTAGGACCTACAGAACTAAAAAGGAGGAGGTACCAGGATACGTGACATCTTTACCATCCCCACTATCTTTGTTCTCTCTGTATAGTTTCATTCAGTCCAGTACTTCTACTATCTCTTTAAGTACTGAAACAGATGTGTTTTATTTGTTTTAAATTTTTGCCATAGGGTGGTACATACGGTGGTTCACTGGAGGGAGGGAGGGAAACACACACACAGAGACAGGAAAAGTGAGAACTCACCCCGCGGGGATGGTCACACCACAGTCCCTTCTCCATTCTCTTCTCAGGATTTTGGGCATGTACGCACTGGTGCCCAGCATATTTTTGAAGGTATCATATCTAGGACTTCAACTACAGAGTTTGCCATGTGGGATCCAGCTCCTTAAACACCACATCTACCTTGCTGGCCCTGAAGTGAATGTTTTTATTTAGCCAAGATCTTTTTCCTCAGCAGTTTTTTGTTTTTCTTCTTTCTTTAATTTTTGATGTGGGATACATGCATTTGCCAGAGAGAGATATAAAGGGAAACTGAAAAATCACCCCCTAAGGAGGCTAGCCACACTGCAGTCCCTTCTCCTCTAGTGTCTTGGAATTTTGGGCATGCACATATGTGTACCTGGCATGGTTTCAAGCTGCCCAGTCCAGGACTCGAAACACTCAGCTGGCCATGTGGGATCTAACACCTTAACCTCCATTCCACCTCCTAGCTCTCAGCAATTCTTTATATCCATTTGTCTTTCTTTTTTACATATTAACTACCATGCCACCTGCTGACCCCAATATATCCATTTTTTCTCTGCATACCTCCACTTGGCTTCTCATCAGCAACTCAGACTCGTGATCACCACTGAGCTCATCACCTGGCCCCAAAATAGGCTCTTCCTTTGAGTATCTTTGGTAGCTTGGTGAACAGCAGTAGTTACCTTAAGTGGAAACCTGTCAGGTGATCTGCAATCCCCTCTCTATTCTGTCCTCTTCTCAGAACTTTGGGCATGCAGGAACAGACTCCAGGGAGTTTTTTAAGTTATCTGGCCTGAGACTCTAACTACTTCATTAGCCAAGTGGGAATCAGCCACCCTAACCACTGCGCCACCAGCTGGCCCAGCAACCCTACTTTTACTTGAACTAGCAAAACATAGTCAACATTGTTAAAACAGATCATCATCATAATTACCTGAGGGTTTTGTTTTTGTCACATTGACTTCATGATGCAGTTTGGCTCCTACTTTGTACTACTGTCCAGGGATGATTTTCTTAATCTAATCTCATTGGATTATTTTCCTTTCTGATATGCCTAACTCTCTAGGAACCTATACCATGACTAGTACACATTGAAGAGCAATGTCAAGAACCTTAATGTATTCTAGTAATTTTCCTACTTAGATTAAATTGATGGCATAGACAATAATAACTATTACATGTAGCTGTATTATTGTTGTTATTTAGCTTTTTGCTCTAGGGGATGTGTACTTGCTGGAGAGAGACAGAGAGAAGGAATGAGAGAAATTATCCCCCAGGAGGGATGGCCACACCACAATCCCTACTCCTCCATTCTCCTTTGGGGATTTTGAGCATACATCTGCCCAGAATGATTTTTAAGCCACCATGTCTAGGGCTTGAACCATGCAGCCAGCCATGTGGGATCCAGCACCTTAACCACCACACCATCTACTGGCCTCTGTAGCTGTATTATTTTTAAAAAGCAATTAGAAAATATAGATTTTTTTTTTCTTCTTTGTTACAGGGCATGTTTGCTCACCAGAGAGAGAAGACACAGACAGATAGGGAGAGGAGAAAGTACCCCCTATAGCAGATGGTCATGCAACAATCCCTTCTCCATCCCTTTTTCCTTCTTGAGATTTTGGGCATTACACACACAATTGTTTTGAACCACAGTTGGCCATGTTGGTTCCCTTAACTGACTCCAAATCGGCCCCCACCAGGATTATTTAAAAGTCAGCCTAGTGAGTACTGAATACTACTCTGAACTTAATATAGCCTGTCTCCTGACAAATTGGGTTTTGCTATGTTTCTACCTTTCCTGCTTTAATATTGATAGCATTAAAACTCACAACTGTGCAGTCAGCATGATATCTGGCTGCCTTAACCATTAGGCCATAGAGCTGGCCCTAACACATGAAATTTATAAGTAAAACATTTCAGTTTTTTTTTTTTCTTTTTTAATTCTGCCAGAGGGCACATGCATTCATCAGAGAGAAAGAGAGGGAGGAAGAGGGAGAAAACACCCACCTAATGGGGACTGGTCACACCACAATCCATTCTTCTCTGTTTCTTCATCCTGTTGGGTTTAGAGCATGCGCTCACATGTACCTGGCATGTTTCTCAAACCCTGTGGTCAGACATGTGGGATTTGGCTGCCTTAATTACCAGATTATGGCTCTGACCTGAAAACCGGTAGTTCTAATACACATTCTGTGCCTGCAGTTTCCCACGGGCAATTACCTGTCGTTTTTTCCCCAGCCTGCCTACATGTAGCCTGCGTTGTACAGCAGAAAGATGCCAGACAGTGGTTTGCTGAACTTTCTGTGGATATGGAGAAGGTATTCTTTAAAATTCTCTTTGTTGAATAAAAGAAACTTGAACATTTTAAAATTATATCATATTATAAAGAGCCCAAGATCTTATGATGTACACCAGGCTAAAGAGACTATTAGTTAAACAGCATTTTAAGAAACATGTTTGGTGTAGGAATAGTTGATATTGACTAAGTTCTATTTCTCTTAGCAGTTTAGAATTAAAAGAGAATGGTAAACTTTTGGCTCAGTTGTTTGCACAGTAGCCTCTAACTTCCAGGATTAGTTGCCAGAGGGCATGGGCACTCATCAGAGAATGAGAAAGCACTGTTCAGTTGGGTGCCGTCACACCACAGTCCTTTCTCTTCTACTTCTTCCTGTTGGGATTTTGGGCTGGGGTTTGGAATCACAGCCAGCTACATGGGATCCCTTAGCCGGCCTCACCAGGGTTATTTTAAAATCCACCCAGTGACTGCTGGATACCACTCTGCACTTCTGTAAATCAGCCTGTCTCCTGACAGACTGGGCTTTGCCCCGTTTCTACCTTTCCTGCTTTAATATTGGAAGCATTAAATTAATCCAAGGCTAGGTCTACTCAGGTGGAGAAGAAAGGACTAATTTGGAAACAGCATGACAGACGTGTGAAAGTGTCAGTTTTGAGCACCTTATGTAATGAGTGCTTAATGAAAAATCCAGATAATGTCTTATATGCACTACCTTCTATGAATTGTTTGAAAATTGGCATTAGAAAAATACGTTCCATAGTGGCATATTCCTTGATTATTAAAGCCTTTATTCCTAGTACCTCACTGTTCTATTTTGGTGGAAGAAAGACATCATCAGGTAGAAGGAAACCCAATTCAGAGATGGATACGGATGGACAGGGCACATATGCTGAAAGATGAGAGGCTAGGAGGAAAGTCTGAACAGCAGTGTGATGAAAAAAGACTTCTGGATTTGTCAGGATTTTCTAACCTAACCTGAGTACTTAAGGGCAGAGACTGTTTTCTGAAGGATGCCTGGTACATAATGTGTATTTTTTATGTACTTAATGTTGCTTGTTTTTTTCCACTGAGAACTTTTCAAATATTATCTTCTAGATATTGGAAATAATCAGGGTTATTTTAAAATTATATGAACAGTGGAAGAATTTCGACGAAAGAAAAGAGATGGCAACTATTCTTAGTAAGATGCCGAAACCAAAACCACCTCCAAACAGGTACTTTGTAGACTTTAATTTTTGGTTTTGTTCAGTTATATATCATTCTCATAAATCATATTTTCCTTAGATTATGTTGTTTTATCTTTTTAAAAATTTCTTTCAAAATTCATGATTTATGTTAATTTTGTGACTTGATAAATTGAGGATGTTTCATTTTTTAAAATAAACAGTAATCTGATTATTTAGTAACTTCCTAATGCAGTCCAGGTCTATTACAGGTATCCCTCAACATATGGCTACTACCGTACATAAAATGTAAATAGAACAGTTAGGCCAGTTTACCTGAAATTCAAGGGTAGAAAACTTTGTAGTAGTCCCAGGTCAGTTTGACTATGTCATCTTTTTTTTTTAAAACCACTGTTAGCTATTATCTTGATTTATAAATTTCAGTAGTAGTTGTAAAATTTTTTGATGAGTGGTCTGATAATGTAAAAATAAAGAATTTTGACTTTTGAGTGACCCTAAGATCTATAGCACACAGGAACATAATTTTGCTAAATATGACTCAGCAATGCCGAAGTTTTTTTTTATTGTCGTTACTGTTTTTAAATAGGATCTGTTCATTTAATTCAGTGGATCTTCGTTCCCTGTATTGGATCATTTGGGGAAAGGAAAAAGGGTCAGAAGGGAAATAAAGAAATGCTGCTATCTAAATTATTTCTCTAGAAAAATTTTTATAGCATTAAGATAGATTTGTAGATTAGTACTGATAAGTTAACATTACAGTTTGGAAAAAGTGAGTACTTATACAAGGAGCTGTTTAAGGCAGTCATTCAAACAGCTACCTTTGGATGCATTTTTTGCAGAAATTCCCTGAGTGATTCTTCACTAGTGGCAGGGCCTGAAGCTGCAAGATGATGGTGGACAAGATAAGGCAATAATCCCATTGCCACAGTTACTGGTATTTTCAGTTTTAGTTATTTTATTTTAAATATTCAGCATTTTCCAGAAAATTACCGTATTTCTTTCTGACTTATAAAGGTTTGCTGTATTTACATATGATTTTATTATGCCTTTGGACAATTTTTTTGTTTTTGGGGTTTTGTTTTTTTATTTTGCGAAAGAATACGTCCTAATTTTAGTAGGAATAGGATATTATATGTAAGATTTAATTTTATAGGAAATTTGTTTAGAAGAAGCTGTAATCTCTATGTTGAGTGATACCTGTAATAAGAATGAAACCTTATGCCCTGATTTAAATTTTTTTGAGTGTATGTGGACACTTTCAGAATATTTGTTATGTGTGAGGGCACAAAGTTACATAAGAATAAAAACATAAAACCAAATGTTAGTCTTCTGGATTTTAATTTTTCTACATCTGTGTCTTTATTCAGGAATGTTTTACTTAGAATTGTACCACAGGATAACAAACTTTTAAAATTTGTAGGCTTATCAGGGTGTTGAAAATGAATCTTTTAATTGGTACAAAATCTCTTTCTTCCCCATTTAAACAGTGAAGGAGAGCAGGGTCCAAATGGAAGTCAGAACTCTAGCTACAGTCAATCATAAAACATTCCGAAGAATTCCGTAGTGGACCACTTGGAAATAACCATTGGACAATTTCATTTATGTCTTCAGTGGAACACAAATGAAAATGAATAGCTTGTTTCTGTCAAGCATATTGGGAAGTGATTTTAGTTTTGCAAAATAAGTTTTTCCTTAGCTAATTTGACTTTCTTATATTATTGATTAAAATCTTTTGATTTACATGTTTGAAAAGTTTCTAAGGGGACCTACAGACAGACATACGTAGACATTTCAAAATTAATAGCTTTTGACTGGTGATATTTCTTAATTTCGATAATAGAAATTAGAGCTTTTTATTAAGCCAGGAAACGTGGATTATCACTTGTTTAAAATTCTCTTTGGTCATTGAAGGACCAAAAAAGAACATTAAAAAATCAGTATCTGAGGGCTTTTCCCCCTCTGTACGTTTAACTTTAACTCTATTTAAGGAATCAAATCTTAACAAAATCCTGGAAGATTTTGGTAATGATGTTGATAATTTCAGGGAAATTAATCAAGTACCTATTGATTTTAAAATGTATTTTATTCAGTAGTTTTAGTATCTTGCCATGGAAGATACTAGCCCAGCCTAGCAGAAAAGTGCAATATGTATAGCATATTTTGACATTTTAAAAGTTATATTAATTCTGTAACCATTTTGAAGTGCTGGGCAAACTTTAAAATCGTATATGAAGTTATTTGCAGATAATTCACAGCTATTTAGGCATTTTGAAAGCTTAATTGGATAAAACACCATAAGAAGGTTGAAATTTAGTACAATTTTAATGTTACTTTTTACTCTACCACAATTAGCATTTTGAAGGCTTAATTAGATAAAACACCATAAGAAGGTTGAAATTTAGTACAATTTTAATGTTACTTTTTACTCTACTGTGAGAAGTTTTTTATACAATATACATACCCTAGTTTGACTTTGTGTCTTAGTGTGGATTTAAAATTTACTACAGGTATCCTGAGCCAGGAATACAATCAGGTTTCAGGTCAGTTTGATACTGACTATTCTTAATTCTCCTGTGAGTGTAGGACTTTAGACTAAATGTCATGTCAGTGGGACTGTGCTGTCTGTGGAACTTAATGAATTAATCATTTTCTTCAGACTTGAAGGAGAGTAATAAAATAAAATTTGGAGTCATAGGATATTGATGTACAATTTAAGGATTAAAATTTTTTTAATAAATCAATTGTGGACAATGGATTATTAAATTAAATGTTGACTTCCTAGTATAAAACTTTAAGAATAAAAGTTCTCCAGCTATATTGACTAGTGTCTTGAATTTATCTTTTTGAATTTGTCTTATGTTGTTTTCTGAAAATCCTTTTTCTTTTAGATAAATGTTAAAGCCTTCTATGGTTCTTCAAGGGGGCGATTTCAAATGGTTTATAAACAGACTTTAGTAGAGTCCTGCTTCCTTATGGAGAGTAACAGAGAACTGGAAAGGGAGACTACGTATTAAGTCAGTACAGTGACAAATAATAGGTCTCCCAAGCTTAGGGCAGGATAAATAAGGAAAAAGAACTCTCCTCAGGTCTGAAGGAATTAATGTTGGCAGGCAGAATGATTTATATATCATAATCATTAATCACAATTTTTCCTTTACGTTTCCATAAATTCCTTTGTAAATTTTTACTTTTAAAAGTAATATATATGCCTCAAATTTTCTTATTGTGAAGAATTTCAAACAACACATAAGTGGTAGCATAGTGAATCTTCATCTAGCTTCAACAGTCATTAGTTCATGGCCAGTTTTTTATCTAAACTCCTACCCACCTCCAATTTGCATATTATTTTGAAGCAAATCCTAGACATCATTTCTTCCATACTTTTTTTTTTTTTTTTAAAGAGAGATTTTTGCTATAGGGCACATGCACTCGCCAGAGAGACAGAAACAGAAAGTGAGAAATTACCCCCTCCCCCTCCCCCACGGCCATGCCGTGCCACAATCCCTTCTCCTCCATTCTCTTCTTGGGATTTTTGAGCACGCATGCACACATGTGAGTTTTAAGCCTCCAGGTTCTGGACTTGAGCCTCACTCAACTACATGGGAGTTCAACAATGTAACCTTTATGCCATCTGCTGGTACCTATACATGTTTTAATAGATATTCCTAAGAGATAATAGCCCTTTACATTAAAATGTAAACATGTTACTGTGCCTAAAAAGAATTAGTACAAATAATATCCATTTTTAAAATTCATTTCTTCCATGAGTAAGACAGAGAGATAGTGTCTTGATACCACGTTTCCAGCCTCAGCCAGTCCAATCATGGGCATGTGTGCCTGGCGTGTACAGGGAACCTCGGGATGCAAATTGGGGCCCTTCCCATGTGGCCTCCTAAACTGGTCTTAAAGTGTTTTAAGTTATGGATTTTGTCTCCATTGCATTTTTTAAAATTCCCCTTTCTGGCTTGAGTTTCTTACCATCTGGATTTTGCTGATTGCATCCTTGACATAGCATTATTTTTTGTTGTTTTGTGTTGTTTTTTATTTTTTTTATTTTTTAATTTTTCGTTCATTTGTTTTGTTTTTGAGAGAGAGAGATTTGCTATAGGGCATGTGCACTTGCCAGAGAGACAGAAAGTGAGAAATCACCCCCCACAGGTGATGGCCACACCTCAGTCCCTTCTCCTATTTTCTTAGGATTCGGGGCGCACACACACACAGGTGCTTGGTGTGAGTTTCAAGCCTCTGGTTCCAAGACTCAAACTGGCCATGTGGGAGTCCAGCTAAGTAACCACTATGCCATCTGCTGGTCCCAACATTTAACATGTTCCTCTCCTCTTCATATTTTCTGTAAATTGGTAATTAAATCTAAAGTCTTGATTAGATTCAGGTGTTTTGTTTTTTTTTTAAGAGGGACAGACAGGAAGCAGAAATTACCTCCTACCTCCCCCCCACCCCCCAGGGGTAATGGCCATGCCATAGTCCCTTCTTCTACATTCTCCTCTCGGGATTTTGGGTGCACTAGTACATGCACCTGGCATCAGTTTCAAGCCTCCAGGCCCAGGACTTTACTGCAGTTGGTAATGTGGGATTCCAGTAATGTAACCGCTATGGCATCTGCTGGTCCCAGATTTAGGTTCTTTTTTTCTTTTTTCTTTCTTTCTTTTTGATAGACTACTGCTTAAGGCATAGTCTTCCATCGGGAGGTGATGTAGTAGGTGTCTCTGTAATTTAGCAGCCATTTACTATATGTATTGTTTTAAAAATCACAGGAACCACCAGTTAGTGTAATGGCTATGTCGCTGGACTCCCACGTAGTCGATCACGGTTCACGTCCCAGACCCAGTGGCTTAAAGCTCATGCCGGGCGTGGGTGCGTTCGTGCCCAAGATCCCAAGAGGAGAATGGAGGAGAAGGGATTGCGGCGTGACCATCCCCCTGGGGGGTGATTTCTCGCTTTCTGTCTCTCTGTCTCTCTCCGTCTGTCTGGCGAGCGCACACGCCCTGTAGTGAAAACCTCTCCAAAAAAAAAAAAATTATATATGTGGGCTATTATGTCCAGTATAATAGTCACTAGCCAAATGTAACTATTGGACATTTAAAATGTGACTAGTCTGGGCTAACAGGTGAGGTGGTGGTGAAGGTAGCTGTACCCCACTTAGCTGACTGTGTGATTTAGAGTCCTGGATCTGATGGCTTTAAGACATGCTGGGTGCATGTCTGTGCGTGCCCAAAATCCCAAAAGGAAGGATAAATAGAGAAGGGATTGGAACATGACCATGCCTTATGGGGAGTGCTTCCTCACTTCCTCTCTCTGTCTCTTTACCCATTAATGTTAAATGAATGCCAACCTAAAATATCAACTGCTTTTAAACAGTTACCGTATTGTACTGATCCAGTACTAATAACAGTAATAGCATTTTATTTGACATACATTACCTGACTTAATCTTCAAAACAGAACTGAAGTAGGAACTGCACCTGGGATACACTTTAACCACATTATGCCATTGTAATACCTTATCAAAATTTCCCCCTTTTGTTTTTTGCTTGTTATCCTTGCTCCCGGAGAAATTTTAACACTTTTAATGGTGATGACAACGTTGTAAATTGCTGTTATTAGAGACATTGATCCTATTTTATACTGTATGGTGGGCGAAGCATTTAATTTTCCATTAGTTTTTATTAATATATTTTTCATAATTAGCTGCTGATACTATTGCTATGAAGTATTCTACAGCATATACATACTAGATAGCAGAAGGGTACATTTCCACAGAGTCCAAGAAATGCAGCTGTACTCATAGGTAAGATGATGTGAATGCAGAAGACCTGAAACACTGATTAATTCAAAACTCTGAGGCCGTCCACTCTTGACACTTTTTCTAGTATATTTTCCTTCTATCCCATTATAAATGAGGTAGAATACGTACAGTATTTCAAAAATATAATCTGGCTTTTCTCATATATTTCTAAAGCTTGCTCCACCCTTGTAATATCAGAGGAAAATTATACTCTCCCAAATTGAAATAAAATAGCCATTTGTTAAATGATATACTTAATCCTATGCTAGATCATCTATATTTTGAGGGTCTGATAGAACAGACCTTAGAAGTGTTACTATTAAGAGTTCTGTTTTGCAAGTCAGTGCAGTTTAAGAAATATAATTTGTCAGGGCCAGCATGTGGCGTGGTGGTTAAGGGCACTGGACTCCCACATGGCCACCTCCGTTTCGAGTCCTGGACCTCACAGCTTGCTTTCTCACTTTCTCTTTCTCTCTCTGTCTCTCACTGTTCAAATTAAAAAATAATAACAATAAAATAAATCTTTTAAAAAGAAATATAACTTGTTAAGTTTTAGTTTCAGAAAATCTGACAACTGAAATTATAAGTTAGATATAGAAGATTATTAACCTTCACTTTTTTTGAAAGATGTAAGTACAATTATATTTGGGTATATAGAATACATTGTCTATCATAAATATTTTTCTTTAAAAGTACCAGGAATCCAAGATATTATAACTGTATAATATTGTTCACATATATCCAAGTGGGGATAGTGGTATTTCCTATTCCATGCATAAAAAAGGTAAGTACTGTTTGCCCCGCAAACATTATATAAAGTGTTAATATTATTGAAGCCTGCTATGTTCCTCTCTTCTCCCAATGGAAACTATTCTGAATTAAGTATTATTTTCATAATTCATTTATATTTATATATGCCCATGTGCTTAAATAATATCATTTTCTATGTTTTCAAACTTTTTTGTGCCAGATCTTACATGATGGGCTGTAGGTGGCTCCAGGCCCTGGCAGCTCGAAAAACAGCATCTATTGTGCTATAACAGCAGAACTGAGTAATTGCAACAGAAACCTAATAAATGGCCACAAGACCATAAGATTTCTTTATTGCCAAACCTGCTCTAGTGAAATAATGGTATCTTCATGGAGGGTTTACTTCTAGTAGACCTGTAGGGTAGCAGAAATATCATCTTAATTTATTCAGGGATTTAGTTGATTTGAAGCTTTTCTTAGTTTTTGTAAGGATTGATCAGCTTTTTGTTGTTGTTTTTCTTGCCACTGGATGCATGCGTTCACCAGAGAGAGAGAAACAAACTGTGAGGCAGAAAGTGAGAAATCATTCCCAAGGGGGTGGTTATGCCACAATCTCTCTTCCACTTCCCTTTCAGGATTTTTTTTGGCAGGCACACCACACAGCCCACATGATTTTCAAGACACCAAGTCCAGGATTCGAACCACAGCCATATGGGAGTCTAGCTCTTTAACCACTATACCACCTGCTGGCCCCCAGTTTTAGTTTTACCTCTACTTGTAGCCTTTCAGGGTGTCTGACTAAAACCCTGCTTTGTTTACCAAGCCACTGTTCCTTAGTGGCTCAGTACTTCAGTGATTTATCCTATACAGCTTTGATTCTCCCTGAGATCATGGCTCTTCAAATCCTTGCTGTTTCTGTAATGCCTTTAAAGAGATTTTATATGTTCGTGTGTGTGTGTGTGTGTGTGTGTGTAGTATCTACATGTTTTTCAGCTTTTCTAGTTGGGTTTTTTTTGGGGGGGGAGAGGTTTTTGCTATAGGGCGCGTGCGCTTGCCAGAAAGACAGACAGAGACAGAGAGACAGAAAGTGAGAAATCGTGCCCCAGGGGGATGGCCATGCCACAATCCCTTCTTCTTTCTCCTCTCGGGATTTTAGGCACGCATACACACATGCCTGGCATGAGCTTAAGCCACCGCGTCTGGGACTCAAACCGCAGTCAACTACATGGGAGTCCAGCAACATAGCCATTACGCCAACTGCTGGTCCCTCTACTTGTTTTGTAGGAATTTTTTTTTAGGAGTTTTTGCCTTAGGGCACATGTACTCGCTGGAGAGAGAGAGAAACAGTGATAGGGAAAGTAGGAAATCATCCCCCAGGAGGATAGCCATGCTGCAGTCCGTTCTCCATTCTCCTCTTGGGATCTTGGGCATGCATGCACACACACCAGCATGTGTTTCAAACTACCGGGTCCGGAACTCGAACCACGATTGGCCTTGTAGGAGTTCAGTGATGTAACCACTACACCATCTGCTGGCCCTGTTTTTGCAAGAAATTGGATTTGTAAGAAACTAGATTGATTTCGTCCAAAATAAAAGTTGAAGGGAATCACATACATCCAACATCCCAGATTCCCCAATGACTTTCCACTTTATTTAGGATAGACCAAATCCTTAAAGTTCCTTTCTAGGTCTTATATGATCTGAATACATGAATGAAACTAAAAATAGAGAAGTCTAGGGCCAGCAGGTGCTGTGGTGGGTAAGGTGCTGGACTCCTACATGGCTGACCATGGTTCAAGTCCTGGACCCCGCAGCTTGAAACACACTGGTGTGTGAATGTGTATGCCCAAAACCCAGGAGGAGATGAGGAGAAGGGAATGTGGAGTGGTCATCCTCGGGGGGTGAGGGAGGAATGATTTCTCACTTTCCCTCTCTTGGTCTCTGTTTCTTCAGTAAACATAAGCACCCTTTGGCAAAAATCTTAAAAAAATTAATAAAATAAAAACAGTTCTCTCCAATAAAAAAATAGACGTCTCAAAAGGCACAGACAAGAAAATACAGGTTTACTTTGTTACCAGCACACTGACAAGTATAGGACTTACTCCAAAGGAATATACCTATGGTAGTGGGAATCATTTAAACATTTAAAAATTTTTTCACTATAACTACTTCTAGAAAACACATTTGTAAGTGTTCAGGGCATTTAACTCTTTACGTATGATACAGTGTATATGTGCACATACGAGGCAAAAAGCTGCACCCTCCATGGTCTAATCACGCTGTGACCCTCTTCCTCCAGTCCTCTAGCCCCTCAGATCTTGGGCACTCATGCATGTGCTCAGCATCTTCCCAGGCTGACTGGGCTGGGATTTGAACCATATGGAATCCAGCTTTTGTACCACAGAGCCAGCTCCACTTCAATGAGTTATGTCAAATGTACATAACTGTATACTTATAGCTCAGTGTATAGGGCATTTCCATCACGAGAAAGTTACCTTCTTGCCTTTTCCAGTCTTCCTTCCAGAACAACAATCACTGTTGTGACTTCTATTCCATATTAATCATCTTAATTTTTTAATTGCCAGAGGGTGCATGCACTTGCCAGAGAGAGGGGCAGAAAGCACTCCAAATGGGGCATGGTCACACTGCACTTCCTTCTCCATGTCTCCATCCTGTTAGGACCTTGGGCACTCACACAGATGTGGTGTATCTTAAGCCACAGGGACTGGGACTCAAACCACAGTCCAACATGTGGGATCTGACTCCCTTCACCACTAGACTATGGAGCTAGCTTTTACTTTTTTTTTTCAAGAGAGATTTTTGCTGGGACCAGCTGGTGGCATGGTGGTTAAGGGCACTGGACTACCATGTGGCCGACCGCAGTTCGAGTCCTGGACATGGTGGCTTGCTTCTTCACTCTCCCTCTCTCTCTTACTCTATCCCTCTCTGGTCAAATTAAAATAAATTTTAAAAAAGAGAGTGATTTTTGCTATAGGGCACATGTACTTACTGGAAAGACAGAGACAGAAAGCGAGAAATCACCCTGCAAGGGGAATGGCCATGCCACAATCCCTTCTCCACCCTCCTCTTGGGATTTTGGGCACACATGCACATATGCCTGGTGTCGATTTTAAGCTGCTAGGTTCAGGACTTGAACCATGGTCAACTACATGGGAGTCCACCAACGTACCTACTAGACCATGTGCTGGTCCCTACTCTTAATTTTTAAAATAGCTAATTATATCACTACCATGCTGGTCTTTGGACATTGTTAATGTATCTTCATTGTTCAAATTTCACCTATTTCTCTGGATCCTACTTTATTGATTTTTTTAAAGTCAAGTCTGCTAATTTGCTCAAAGCCTCTTTGATGAATGGAAGTTATACAAACGCAGATGGTTAAACATGATTAGGCAATACAAGTAACCTGGTCTTTTGGAATACTACTAAACTATACTAAACAAGTTAAAAATTAATCACTAGAATTCCAATTTCTATATTTCTTTCTTTTCTTTTTTTGGAGAGGTTTTTGCAATAGGGTGTGTGTGTTCACCAGAAAGACAGAGACAGACAGAGAGACAGAAAGCAAGAAATCACCCCCCAGGGTGATGGCCATGCCACAATCCCTTCTCTTCCATTCTCCTCTTGGGATCTTGGGCATGCACACACATGCTCCCGGTGTGAGTTTAAGCCACTAGGTCCAGGACTTGAACCGTGGTCGACTACATGGGAGTCCAGCAACATAGCCATTATGCCTCTGCTGGTCCCCCAATTTCTATATTTCTATGACAAGTCACATAAATTACCTCAGTCATAATAGTCTTTGGAAGCACGCAGTCAAGAGTGATACTATTGATTTACAGATGAGAATGAGACTCAGCATGCAATTGACTTCTACAAAGTCCCCTTACCATTAATTAACCAGTGGTATCATAATTTGATTTTTATTCTTTTGTTCATTCCATCATCCTAGGTTGCATGTACACAAGGGAAAAGCCAAGTTGCCTTCCAAAATTCAATTTCCTTGTTTCTTCTCTGAAAACTCATAGGTTACCCATTCCTTCCATCCTCCAGCATAGTGTTGAGCACTGAAAACGTACATCATATAGTTAATGATATAAATATCTTCTCCTACTTCATCAAAGAAGGTTGACAGGAACTTTAGAGATAGCAGCTAGTCACCATAGTATTTTGACTAAGCCCATTTAAAAGATTTTGCTGCTTTTGAGTAAGATGAAAAGATAGAGGCTCTTAGTCTTGCTACCTAACTTTACTATCAATAATTGTAAGATGTTCTTAAATAGACCAATACAAATATATATGAAGCACTGCAATATACTTTTTTTTAAAGAGATTTTTGCTACAGGGTGCATGTGCTCACTAGAGACAGATGGAGATAGTGAGAATCACCCCCACAGGGGGATGTCTATGCCATAATCCCTTTTCTGTTCTCAGGACTTTGGGCATGCGTGCAAACGCATCCAGTGTGTTTTAAGCCACTGGGGGGACTCGAACCATTGTCAACTACATGAGAGTCCAGCAATATAACCATTATGCCATCTGCTGGTCCCACAATACACATCCTGGAATTAGTTTTTCTTTCATGTACACACCTTTTAAAGCCTAGAGATAGTGCTGTGTCCAGAGCCTTCTTGCTTCTCACTCCAGCTAAACAAGAAAACACGAGACTATCAGATTTGGATGGCTTTGCTTCACTGTACTTCTCTTTGAAGTCTCTTGGGTTCATCTGTAAAGCTTCACCAACTTCATCCACTGAAAGAAAATGTTAAGAATTACATTTTAGATATAGAAAATTATTTTGTACAAATAACACACCTATATCTATCTTTTTATCTATCTATCTATCTATCTATGTATTTTAGAGGTTTTTGCTATAGGGCGTGTGCGCTCGCCCGACAGACAGAGACAGAGATAGAAAGTGAGAAATCACTCCCCAGGGGGGATGGCCACGCCGCAATCCCTTTTCCTCCGTTCTCCTCCCAGGATCTTGGGCAAGCACGCACACGCGCCCAGCATGAGTTTAAGCCACTGGGTCCAGGACGCGAACCGCGGTCGACTACATGGGAGTCCAGCGACATTGCCATTACGCTAACTGCTGGTCCTCGATATATATATATTTAAATGAATCAGTTTAAGATACATATTACTCACATGGTATATTGACAGACCCAGGGATTTTTCCATACTCAAGAATTTCCCATGTCTCTCTGACATCAATTAACATAATCTTTTTGGAATTCAACATGTTTTTCAGTTCCTTATAAGTGACTTCTTTCAAAACAGTAGTACAAAAATTGTGAGAGCTTCCTTTTCTTATCTTCAAACCTGGAAAATGAGAAAAAAAATTTGGGCATTTTCCAAGTGGCTTCGTTATTAAAAGTTGTAAAGAGTAGATTAGAATTTTTGTCTGAACCCCTAGTTCTGGTCAGCTAACTCATCTTTTCACTTGTAAAATCTATGAGACCAGCCTCTGACCTGGTGGTTCTGTGAGCTAGATCCCATATGGCCACCTGTATAGTTTGAGTCTCAGACCCAATGGTTTGAAAAACATGCTGGACGTGTGTGTGTGTGCCTAAAATCCTGAAAGGAGGGAGTGAGGAGAGAAGGGACGGCAGCATGACCATCTCCCAGGGAAGTCTGGTCACACTATTTCTGTCTCTGGTGAACGCATGCACCCTCTGGTAAATATAAACAATTATATGTATTTTTCTCTGTGATAAATGAAACACGTATTTGGTTTCTGAGAGTTCCTAAATTCACTGGAATCTCCTAGCTAACAGATTATTTTGTTTTAATGAGCTAACTCTTGGTGGATTCCTGGATAGCTTCAGAACAGGGCCTCGTTGCTGGAAAGACAAAGCTTTGATTAGAAACTTGGAACTTCCAGCCCTATCACCCATCCTATGAGTGGGATTAGAGATTGAGGTAATAATTGGTCATGCTTACATGAAGCCTCTGTAAAACCACTGAACTATGGTGCTCAGAGATCTCGGCTAGTCGGTGAGCACGTCCATGGGGCAGGAAGATGGTGCATCTCTGCTCCACAGGGATAGAAGCGCCTGTGCTTGGGGCCCTTCCAGACCTCACACTGTGATCTCCATCTGTATCCTTTACTATATCCTTTAAAATGATAAATGCGTTTCAGTTCTGTGAGCAGTTCTAGAAAATGACCAAACCAAAGGAGGAAGTCTAGACCCTTGATTTACAGCCAGTTGGTCATAAGTAGAGGAGGCCTGGCCTTGTGACTGGCATCCAAAGTGGGGGCAGTGTTGTGGAACTGAGGTCTTTAGTCTGTAGGGTCTGCACTAAACTCCGGGTAGTTAGTTCAGAATTAAATTGTAGGATAGCCAGTTGGTGTCTACAGGAAAATGGTGAGAATTGCTTGGTGTGGAAAGCACATTTTGGTGTAAGAAGTGGATGGGGAACAGGGTTTTTCGTTTATACACACATCCTGGATGTATGCACATTAGGACGCAGTTTGTCTTCCCCCGTGTGCTTTCTGTTTTCTACTATATCCGAAGAGTGGAAGTTTCTAAACACACATTCAGCACTGGGCAAGTAATACATAAATAATTTGTAAATCTGATTCTTATTCAAGTTACATTAAGAAAATTTTGAGGGGTCAGATTATGGCATAGTGGTTATGTCACTGGACTCCCACGTGGCCCAAGGTGGAGTGAGTCCTGGACCTGGTGGCTGGAAAATCATGCAGGCATCTCTGTGTGCACGTGTGTGCCCAAGATCCCAGGAGGCGAAGGGATTGCAGGGTGGCCATCCCCACCAGGGGAATGATTTCTCACTTTCCCTCTCATTGTCTCTGTCTCTCTTTCTTTTGCCAGTGAGTGCATATGCCCGAAGGCAAAAAAACTCCTAAACTTTTTTTTTTTAATTTCATTTCCCCTTGCAAGGAAAGATATTAAGCTATACGTTAGATGTGGGGACATTATATTTTAAACTATACATGTAAGTACTTAATATGGCATTTTTTTCTGTTAAATAATTGGTAACAAAATATGATAGTGGGTAATAACACATAAAGTAAGTCTATGGTGGGGCCATCTGTAACTTAATGGTGAAGGCAGCTGGTTCCCATCTGGCTGACAGCACAATTCAAGTCCTAAAACTGGCGAGAAGTATGCTGGGCACATGTGCATGATGTCCCAAATCCTGAGAGGATTTTTCTGAGTGCACACAACCTCTAGAAAATTTAAAGAAAAAAAAAAAAAAAGTCAGTCATGGGTCCATACTGATATAAGGATATAATTGATTAAATAGATCAGAATGGATTATCTTCCTCATATTGGAATTTTAACTGATAAATGTGAAGGAACGATAGAAACAAAATCATTACAGTGTAGTTGTTACAGGTAAGAATCATTGATAGATACTGTCGCAGATTTAGTGAATAAAAATATGATTGGAAATGGGTCCAGCAGGTGGCATAATGGTTATGTCGCTGGACTCCCACATAGTTGACTGTGGTTCAAGTCCTGGACCCGGCGGCTTAAAACTTAATGCCAGGCAAGTGTGTGTACATGGCCAAAATCCCAAGAGGAGAAGGGAGAGTGGTGTGGACAAACCCCCCACCCCGGGAGCGACTTCTCACTTTCTGTCTTTCTGTCTCTGTCTCCGGTGAGTGCATGTGCCCTATTAGCAAAAATCTCTCAACAAAAGAGATTATATCTCTCCACGAGCTACTTACAATGGGAAAGATCTGAGAGATACCACTTTAACCAGTTATTCAAAGATAACTTCACTAGTAATAAGGTATGCTGAAAACATGTAGCTCCTGATACGATGCATTGTGAAGAGCATATCATTTCCTTAGTATCCTTTGCCAAAAATGCATGCTTTGAGTCTACTCAGAAGAAAATCTAAAATAAATAAAATAGTACTTTTTCTTTGAAGAGAGATTTTTGCTATAGGGCATGAGTGCTTGCTGGAGAGACAGAATGAATCAGAAATCACCTCCTGGGAGAATGACCACACCACAATCCCTTCTTCATTCTCCTGGGTTTGGGTGTGCATGCACACACACGTGCCTGGTGTGAGTTTGAAGCCACTGGGTCCAAGAGTCAAACTGGTCAACCATGTGAGAGTCCAGCACCTTAAGCATTATCCACCTGCTGGCTCAACAGGACTCTTAAAAAGCATGAGTGTCATAAAAGAAAGGACAAAGACTGGCAGGAGTCTGAAGAGACCTAGAAGGCATGACGTTACCGTGTAGGATTCGGGACTGGATCTGGGACTTTCCTCTCTCTATCTGTCTCTGACCAGCAAACATGACTTCTGGCCAAAATTAGTAAGAAACAAATAGCTCCATCAATTAGTTAAGTGTTAAGTCAACATTAATTTCTTGATTTCAATAACTATCATATGTAAGAGGCTTACATAGGAACTGAGTAATAAACTGTTTTACTTCTGGACTTCTTGCCTTTCCACTTAGTGAGGGGCTCCTTGGTGAGCTCTCCCCATGTCTCTCATGGTATGATTCTCAGTTCTACAGAAGAAAAACGGTAGAATGGCTTTTGTATTCACATTGTCTACTTAGAAATCAGCCACTGATCTGGTGCCTAACCGAAGAAACACTAACCTGTTCCTACACTGGAGAAAAACTGGCTGTTTGGGATTTACCAAGAGATAACAGTGTGGTTATTTTGAGGAATCTTCTAAGGGTAATGCAGGCTATACCTGACTTTTTTACTTGTAAGCCCAACTTCTGAATAACCTCGTCCAGTTTTGCTGTGTCCACACTGGTCAATCTAACCCATGTGGATACTCTGTAGCAAACGGAATAGGATACAGACCCAGAGTATACTTCAACCCTTACCAGCATACCTTACCAAACCTCTCCTCCCCAACTGCTTTTCTGCTCCGGTTATTCTATCTTACAACAACAATATATGTGTGCTCTAAATGTATTCTTTTGGTGGGGGGAGTTTTTTGCTATCGGGCGTGTGCGCTCCCCAGAAAGACAGACACGGAGAGACAGAAAGCAAGAAATTATCATCCCCCCCAGAGGGGGGTGGCCACACTGCAATCCCTTCTCTTCCATTCTCCTCTCGGGATCTTGGGCACGCACGCACATGTACCCAGTGTGAGTTTAAGCCACCTGATCCGGGACTCAAACCACGGTCGACTACACGGGAGTCCAGCATAATGTAGTCATTACGCTATCTGCTGGTCCCTCTAAATGTGTTTTTATAATGGTAAGAGAAATACTTTAGAGTCAGATACACCTAGGTTCAAATCCTGGCTTGTCTACTCAGCTCAGTGCCCCTAGACAAATGACTTATACACTCTTTAGGACTTAGTTTCTTATTTGTAAAATGAGAATAATATTTCTTAACTTGTTAGAGTTGCTGTGAGGTTTAAGTATCCAGTGCAATCAATAAATATCTTTCTGCTTCTCCTTCACGATTTAGATGCACTGTTCCTTCTAAAGGGACTGTCTCCCACATCTTTACATGGAACAGTCTTCTCTCCCTTAAGACTCGGGAAAGTCACTTGTATGTCTTTTATCCAACAGTCCCACTTCTAGGTGTCTATTTTAGTAAAATACTTGTACAAAATATACAAGGTGGTATGCACAATGCTTATTACTGAACAACTGCTTATCACAGCAAAAAATTGGAAGACAAGATGTTCACCAATAGGTGACACCCTGCGTAAACCGTGGCAAATCCATACTATGGAATATATGCCATGGTTAAGAGTTCTGTGTGCTGCTGTCATGGAAAGCATCTAACACCTTAAGTGAGAAAAAATTATAGGACAGTATGCATAGATCACATTTATATACATGATGTTTTTAAAAATTAGTATTTGCTGTAGGGTGCATGTGCTTGCTAGAGACAGACAGAGAAAGGAAAAGAGAGAAAGGGATTTGGAGCATGCAGACTTGAACTGGGCTGTGTAGGATCCAGTCACCTTGACGTTCATGACCTGCTGGCTCTATTCATAGTATTTTTGATATATATTTATGTATACTAATAGAAGTACTTAGAATGAATGTGCACTAAATCATAATTGGGGAAGACTGGGATGGGGAAGATGTATGAAGAGGGATTTGCACTATGCTTTTTTGTTTTACTATAAGAACATACTCACTTAATACTAGCATAATTTAAGTGAAAAAGGCAACTTTACCTAACACTTTCCTCAGAGTCCATTTTCCCCCCCCCCCCATTGCAGTCCCGCTGGACTGAGCAATGTGTAATAGTGTTTATGTAAACATAATAGTAACTATGTCCCCCCAGAAAGGGTGCACTCATGGGTGGGATAGGCACCAGAAATGGTGGGGAGGCCTACCCCAGCAGGAGGCCTGGCAGATTAGGTGCTTAATAAATGAGTGTTGAATAAATATAAAAGGAAACAATAATTCACATAGAAAAGCACATCTTAAACTGTAGGCCATACCTACAGCTAAGATGGAACTGGAGGAGTTGAGCATTTTTAAGCTGGGTGTCTGTAGCTGCAAACACAGATGAAAGTTGATGCAAACAAAGGCAGCATGTGAGACAAAAGGACCGGAGGCGTGCCCTGGGTTCTAGACCCAACGCCTCGACTAACCCCCTTCACTTCTCTGGCTCGTTTCCCACTCTATTAAATTGAGGGTGATACTCTTACAGCTAACACGTTGTAATTCTAGGTGGCTGTTTCATCACCCGAAGAGCGCAGCTCGGTAGGAAGTCCCAAATGTAACCCGCAAGTCTGGGCTCATTACGCTTCTCCTGGGCAGGGACTGGCCATCTTGCTCACTCCTCTGAGTCGCTAATTGACCTCAACTGCTCTATCAAACGCCACTACCTTGATAAAAGCCCTCCACATGAACCCCCGGGGCAGCGTTACCTGCTTTCTTGGCAACGCACCGGGCAGCCCCAGGATCTGAAGGGCTAAGAACCGCAAACGGGTGATAATATCCCCAGGCGCCAACAATAATGAGTCTGTCCGCCTTTTAACTGGAAGTCTAAAGAAGCGAGCACCTCCACCACGTCGTCCCTTCCCTGGAGTCCCAGGTTAGGCGCTCTCATTTTCCCCAAAGACTACCAAGCTCACCGTAGAGCCCGGCCTCCACCGGCCGGAGGACCGCCGAGCGCACAGTCGGAAGCAGCTGCCGGAACAGCACCATCGCCAGCTCGCGCGTCGCGCTGCTGACCGCTTCCTCCTCCCCCGGCCCAGGCCTGGGCGCACGCCGCGTCTGCTGCAGAGCGCCCTCCAGCCAACCGCCGGCGGAACTGCAGTGCCGCATTGCGTAATCGCCGCCAGAGACGTGCCGTCTGCTTTGGAACCTTAACTTCTTTGGAACGAAGGGTTATGATTTGTTGTTGATTATTATGATGATTTTTAGGAGAAAGTTTAAAAGTGGAAAGTACAAAAATGACAAAGCTCATATAAATAAACTTGACGTTTAAAGTTTATGTGAAGTTGGAGAGTTAATTGGACAATAGACTTTTCCAATTTATAACATGCTTTTCATCCTCTGGACTAATTTAGACTTACATAGATTCTCTTGTAAGAATGGCCTTAACTCCAATAACTGGTTTAGTTGATGACACTGTAATCTGATACTGTCGTCTTTTCTCCACGAATTGAAGATATGTGACGTATTTAACTATAGTTTTATTAGAGCTAGTTCCAATTATTATAGAAAGTGTTCTCGTTTCCTGTTGCTACTGTAACAAATCACCACGAATTGGTTACCCACAATTATGTGTCAGAAGTCTCTTTAGTCAAGGTGTCAGCAAAGGAATGTGCCTTCTGAAGGCTCCAAGGAAGAATTTTTTATTTGCCTTTTACAACTTCCAGTAGCTGCCTACATTTGTTCCTTGGCTCATGGTCCTTCTCCAAGTTCAAAGCCAGTAGTTTTGCATCTTCAAATCGCTCTCTGATTCTGACCCCTGCTTTTGTGGACATGGCCTTCTCTTCCTCTGACCCTCCTGTCAACTTGTTTTTTTTTTTTTCTGCCAGAGGATGTGTGTTCTCATTAGAGAAAGAGAGGGGGAGGGGAGAGGGAGAGGGAGGGAGGGGGAGAGAGAGAGAGAGAGAGAGAGAGAGAGAAAGCACCGCCTTTGGGGAATGGTCACCCTGCAATCCCTTCTCTATTTCTCCCTTCTATCAGGATTTTGGACATGGATGCAAACGCGCCTGGAGTTTGCTGAGTAAGCCATGTGAGATGCTGTTGTCCCAATCAGCATGCCAGGGCTGACTTCTGCCTCCCTTTTGTAAGAACCTTTATATTCAGACCACTGCGATAATGAAATAATTTCCCTAGTACTAACTTTAATCACATCTGCAAACGCCTTTACAGTGGGTAAGGTAGCACATTTACAAGTTCCAAAGATTAGAACACAGACACCTTTGGAGTTGGAGAGGGGCACTATTCAGCTCACCACATGAAGGTTCTCATTACCTTATTTTTAGTATATTGTCAGTTTTGTTCCAAACCATAGTAAAAGCTATATTTAGCTGCAAATTGATTCACAGTTTAAAATAAAATATTAATTGTAAACAGCATTATTAAAGTATATATACAAATAATAATTAAGCATGTACTTTTCAGCTATCCACTCCCCTTTTTTAAAAAAATATTTATTAAATTTTATTTATTTGTTAATTTATTCTTAGCTTGACAGAAAGAGACGCAGAGAGAGATGGGGGTGGGGGAATGAAAAAGCAAGCCACCAAGGTCCGGGACTTGAACTGTGGTCAGCCATGTGGGACTGTACAGTGCCTTAACCACCATGCCACCTACTGCTCCCCCCACATTCCCCCCTTTTTAAAAAAAGTTTTTGCTGTACAGTGTGTGTTCTCATCAGAGAGAGAGAGAGAGAGAGAGAGAGAAGAGAAGAGAAGAGGAGTGAGAAGCATTCCCTTGGGGGGATGGCCACACTGCAGTCTCTTCCCCCCCCCCCCCGTCTCCTTTTGTCATTTTGGGCACACATGCATATGTAACCAGAGTGATTCTCAAGCCGCTAGTATGGCACTCAAACAGCACAACCAGCCATGTGGGATCCAGTACCTTAACCTCCATAACACCTGCTACCACAGTTATTCATTTTTAATAATTTAATAATGAACCACTTGAATTCTACACCAATGACATAATTTACAATATGTTTTTCTAGGGGCCAGCAGGTGGTGTGGTGGATAAGGGCACTGGATTCCGACATGGGCAACCATGGTTCAAGTCCTGGACCTGGTGGCTTGCTTTCTCACTTTCCCTTTCTCTCTCTCTCTCTCGTCAAATGAAGAAAAAATATAACAATGACAAATGGAAATAAATAATTCTTTAAAAAATTATTTAAAAAAACATGTTTTCTAACAGCTTACTGATAGTCTCTGTGTAACTTATTTTGTGGACTAATTTTGAACTATTGTATGCCATTGTAATATACTAAAGATTCATATCTTGTTTGTGGCATCCTCAATATGAATATCATAAACCATGGTAGTATGAATGCAAGATGTGGAAATAATGTAGTTGGCTTCAATGAATCACATTTAAACAGATTTGTACTTTTAATAAGAGAAATATTCTTAGGCAATTCTTTTCCAGGGTTCTAATTATTATTTGGGAAATATTTTTCTGTCACTTTTTCCCCCCTGGAATAGATATGTCCTCCCACATCTAGCACAGTGTCAAACTTGGTTTATTTTAGCTCAAAAAGATGTTATCAAAAGAGTCTTGAGAGGAAACAGCAGTTAGCATAATGGCTATGTTGGGTGAACTCCCACGTAGCCAACTGCGGTGGCTTAAACTCATGCCAGGCACGTGTGCATGCGTGCCCAAGATCCTGAGAGGAGAATGGAGGAGAAGGGATTGCAGCATGGCCATTCCCCCTGGGAGGTGATTTCTCGCTTTCTCTATCTCTCTGTCCCTCTCTTTCTGGCGAGTGCACGTGCCCTATAGCAAAAACCTCTCCAAAAAAAAAAAAAAAAGGAGTCTTGAGATAGCTTTGTGGTCTGGTGGCTAAGGAAGCTGAATCCCATATGGCCAATCATGTGGTTCATATCTGGGCCCCTGTGTCTTGAGAAACATGCTGAGTATGTGTGCATGTGAGTTCCAAATCCTGACAGTATAGAGAAATGCGGAAGAGACTGCAGTGTGACCATGTCTCTTTGTTGGGGAGGTGGGTATTCTCTATCTCTTTTCTGTCTCTCTCACTGGTGAGCACACATACCCTCTGAAAAAATTTAAAAGAGATAGAGTCTTGATCATCGCTTCTACGTTACAGGTGTACAAGTCATTTTTTCAGAGTCAGCAATATTTTAACTTCTAAGAAAGGTCTACTTTTTAAAAAGAATTATTTTATTTTTTAATTTTTAAAATCTGAGCGACAGAGTGACAGAGAGAAAGAGAGAGGGGAAAAGTGGGAAAGCAAGCTGCCAGGTCCAGGACTTGAACTGTGGTCAGCCATGTGGGCATCCAGCACCTTAACCATCCTACCACCTGCTGGCCCCAAAGGAAAGAGTTATTAGTGCTGATATGACATAACTCATTAATTCTCAAACTCATTTTATTTATTTTTAACCATAACTTATGTGCAAGTGAAAGGCTGTTGGGATGGAGGGTATTTTTAAGAGACTTGGGATGATTCCTATTTTTTTTTTTTTAATTGCCAGAGCACACCTGCACCCACCAAAAAGAGACAGAGGGAGAAAGCACCTCCGACAGGGTGTAATCATGCTGCAATCCCATTTTATTCTGTCGGGATTTGGGGGCATGCCGGCATACACTGTGGATTCAAGACGCAGGGTCAGGATTTAAACCATGGCTGGCCATGTGCGATCCAGCTCCCATAACAACAAAGCTCTGAGTCCAGATTTTTTCTATTCCTAAATCCTCCTCAGACCTTCATATAATAGACAAATAAAATTGAGAATTAGAAAATGAGGGCCAGCAAGTGGCATGGTGGTTAAGGGCACTGCACTCCCACATGGCTAACTGTGGTTCGAGTCCTGGACCTGGCGGCTTGCTTTCTCTTTTTCTCTCTATCTTTAACTCTGTCACTCTGTCCCTCTCTGGTCTAAATAAATAAATAAATAAATAAATATAATTCTTTTTAAAAAAGAAATAGAAAATGTAAGGCTTTTCACAAGACTCTTCAAAAGAATTTCTATCAAAACTTAAAATGAACATCCTTTAACTCAGAGTTTTGACTGTTGCTAGTTTATCTACTGAAAATATGTACACAAATAGGCAAAGATAAGCAGACTAATAGGGACTAAGTGAAAAAAATGATACATTCGTGACCAGCAGATGGCATAATGGCTACATTGCTAGACTCCCATGTAGTCAACCACGGTTCAAGTACCAGACCCAGTGGCTTAAACTCACGCCAGGTGCCCAAGATCCCGAGAGGAGAATGGAAGAGAAGGGATGGCAGTGTGGCCAACCCCTAGGAGGTGATTTCTCACTTTCTGCCTCTCTGTCTCTCTCTGTCTTTCTCGTGAGCACACGCACCCTATAGCAAAAAACCTCTCAAAAAAATATATTTATCTTTTTGGTCAGCAGGTGGTGCAGACATAAAGGTGGCTGGATCCCACAGCCAACTTTGTGGTTCGAGTGTTGGACCTAGCAGCTTGGAAACCACACCAGATGCATATAGGTGCCCAAAATCTCAATAGGAGAATGGAGGACAAGGGATTGCCGTGTGGATCTCTCTAGAGAGTAATTTCTCACTTTCTCTGGTGAGTGCACATGCCCTATAGTTTAAAAAAAAAAAAAAAGCTCTTTACTGTGATTGAGCAAATTAGATTTGCTCAACTTTCTAAGACTTTTTACCTCCATTTTCTGTTAAATGTTAAAGCGTATAAACACTTTTGATATATGAATCAGACAATTTTTACTTCCAAATTATACCACAACACTACCTATTCTTATTTGGTGGATGGTTTATATTTCCCTAAAGAAAAAAACCTCTCACACCTCACAGATGATTATGTACCTCTATACCTAACACAGGGACTGGCATATTTGTTAAGTGAATTGTTCCTATAAATACAATATAAACAAATACCAACTTCCTTTGCCAAGTTTTCTGCATGGAAATCATGTGAGAAATAAATTAGAGTTTTTAAGATAAAATCAGAATTTAAAAATTTAACTCTGGTGGGACCATCAGATGGTGGAATGGTTATATCACTGGACTCCAACATGGTCAACTGTAGCTCGAGTTCCGGACCTGGCAGCTTCAAACTCACGCTGGGCATGTGCCCAAAATCCTGAAAGGAGGCTGAAGAAGGGATTGCATTATGGTCATTCTCCTGGGGGGTGATTTCTTGCTTTCTGTCTCTCTGGTGAGCAAACACACTCTATAGCAAAAATCTCTCTTAAAAAAATTTAACTCTGGTACCTTGAAAAAAAATTTTAATTGCCAAAAGGCATATGCACTCACCAGGAGAGAAGAGAGTAAGAGAGAGAGAGAGAGCACTCCTCTCCAAAGGTGTGTGATTGGTCTGTAATCCTTTTCCCATTTTCCATCTCATCAGGATTTTGGGGTATGCACACTCTGCCTGGCATGTTTTTTGTTTTTTTTTTTTTTTTTGGAGAGGTTTTCGCTATAGGGCGCGTGCGCTCGCCAGACAGACAAAGCGAGAAATCACCCCCCGG